CGTTGTCTATCTTTGATCTAATGAAATAAAAGTTTTTTCCTTTTTTTGATCTCTTTGGCCAGCATCATGTCATTCTCTTTGAACCTCTCTGATGAGATGATAAGGAAAAAAATCATATTTGTCTATCTGCACTTTCTGTGATTGGGGGAGTCCTAACTAGCGGGTGGAATTGGAGACGACTAAATTAGGGAGATAATTGGGTTAAAATCCACATGAAGTGCTTCCAGCTCACAATTTTCATTGTTCGAAATGTCATTAAGCAGGGCATAGATCTTATAGACCAAGAAAACTCAGACAGAGCTTCTTGTATGCTGGGCAGACAGGCAAAGCAAAACTCCCCATATAACAGCAAAGCACTTGCAGAATGGTTTAGCTGACACAAGGGTCGACACTAAGAGAAACAGGAAGAAACCTTGAGAGGAACCAAAACTCAGAAGGGGAACCCATCCTCCTCTGGTTGACACCAGCAGCATCAGTGGGGTCAGGTTGTGAGGGTGAGGTTTGCAGCAGGAGGCTCAATGGTGGTCAGGCCGGTCCAGAGGGCTGGCGAGCAGTGGCACCCAATCAAGGCAGAAGAGGCAGCAGCATCAGACGCACAGGATGAGCAGCTGTTCTATTGGTCTATTGTGTCAAATGCCGCACTAAGATCGAGGAGGACTAACAAGGGCACATTTTCTTGGTTGAGAATAGTAATAGATCATTTACAATTTTCACTAGTGCTGTCTCTGTACTATGATGTGGCCTAAAACCAGATTGAATTTTTTGTGTATTTGATTCCTATGCAAATAGGAACTTAATTGTTTTACTACAACTTTTTCCAAGATCTTAGATATAAAGGGGAGATTCGAGATGGGTCTATAATTTGATAGTTCGCAGGGATCGAGGTTCGCTTTCTTAATCAGAGGCCTAATTACTGCTAGTTTAAGAGATTTTGGGATGTATCCAAGGCTAAGAGAGGTGTTTATTATTGAGAGAATAAGCTTGGTTATTTCTTTCACTCAACTTCCTTGAGTAAACCTGTAGGAATCAGATCTAACATACAAGTAGATGATTTTGCGGAAGAAATGATTTTAACTAGTTCATTTTCTTGGAGTAAGGTAAATGATTCCAGCCCCTCTGCAGGGATCATAATATTCTCAAGGTTGAGGCTAGCATTATGGGGAAGCATTATGAGGAAAATTTTTCAATTTTGTCACTAAAGAAGTTCATAAAATCGTTGCTGCTATAGGCTGATGGCATCTGGGGTTCACTAACTGTTTTGTTCTGTTAGTTTAGAGATTGTGCTGAATAGTAATGTAGGATTATTTTTATTGTTTTCTATGAGAGAGGAGAGATAGGCTGAGCGTGCTGTAGCAAGTGCTCTTCTATAGTCTTAGTCAGGCGCCATTTTCGCTCAAGTTGTCTGGCAGACTGTTTTAAAGCCCGAGTGTGATCGTTATACCAAGGGGCGAGTTTTTTCTGCCTTACTATTTTACTTTTTAATGGAGCCACACTGTCTAGAGTAGATCGAAAATTATCCTCTAAGAGCTTGGTCATAGAATCTAACTCAGTAGGATCAGATGGACAGCTGACAGAAGCTGATAATTGAGGGAGGTTTCTGATAAATAGACCAACTGTGGAGGAAGTTATTGTCCGCTTGACACAGTAACATGGTGATGAACGCAAATTACCACTAAAGTGAATTTCGTATGAGATTAAGCAATGGTCAGAGACTGCTGTGCTCTGGGGGAGAATCATCACTGTGCCGGGACATTACTGTATACTGAGCCATTGACAGGACAGGCCCATTGAGCACCAGCTGGACACTACATTACATCTCCCCACTCAGATTACTAAGCACTGCCACTTTGTTTATTTGTCCACAAATATTGCACATTGCACTGTCACTTTGTTCATGCGTCCATGAATGTCATATCGCACAACTGTTAACATAGGTTATCATTTACAGTGCATAGTCACAGGTTTATTCACTGGAGGGGCCGTGCACCACTGCATTGCCAACTGCATAGTATTTATGCAATTTACTTCTTTTGTATTGCACCTTTATATGTATTGTTGTTTTAGTATATTATATTATTTATCTTTACTTTCTATTTATGCGTCTGTAAATGCTGTAAGACAATACTTTGCTAGGTGGGTTGGAGAGGAATGACCCATATATTTCTTGTCATATGTAGTTGCGCTGCTTTTTGTATATGACTGTGTCTGTCATGACTGACCATCCATCTTTAGTTTAGTCATTTACTCATAATGGAAATAAGGTAGTATTAGTTATTCTTTATTACTTACTAACATCACCATGGTACGTTAACATGCTTTTACTAAACAGGCTTTTGTACGGTTACAATCATTTTTATTGTTCATTGTCGAAATGCCGCTTGCGAGAGGACGCATATCGACTCTGGACTCTAGACTTACCTGTACTGACTCGGGACTTGAGATTTACTTCTCATCTCCAAGTCAGCGACTTGTTCCCACCTCTAGAAACTAGAGGAGTAAACACAACAAAAGACATTTTTCTCGTATGGCTTATTCTGTGATGGAAACACTGCTGGAAAATAAAAGCTGACATTCTGTGTTTTAGTCTGAAGCTCATTTCTTCATCTAGAATAAATATTTTATGAATACATAACAAAAATAACCCATTTCACTGCATTGTTCCAATACATTTGCGTCTCACTGTATATAGTAATTTTACAAACTGCACCTTCACGTTATCTATACTTGAAGCTTGTTTTGTCGACGATGTGGTGCAAATCTTGTTTTTATGTAACTAAAATAAAATTTAAAGGTAGATAAAACGCAGCTGTTGCAGATCTGTCTAAAATATTTTATTTATTATAAGCTATGTTTATACAGTTATGATACATCAAGGCTGTGAAAATTTCTAATAGTGTTAACTGTTCATGCTTTTTAGTTTTGGTGTAGATACACAAATCAACTAGAGAACAATATGATATTGTATAAGTTTATTCAGGGAATATAATCCAACCAACATGAAGAAAAAGACAAATTTCATATCAGTAAAATCAACATATAAGCTTACATTACAATTCTTAAAGGTACGAAAAGGAAATTCCTTACGCATTTTAGAGCAGAGTGACAGTTACAAGCTGAAACCAATAAACCTTTACATTACAAAAATATTTAACTGTGCATCAGAGAAATACATTTAATTAGAACAATTAGAACAGACATTTAGAATAATCATTAGAAGAATAATATATTTAAAAAAAGAGGTGTGCTTAATGAAGTCACCGGTCGATGTGTGTGTGTGTGTGTGTGTGTGTGTGTGTGTGTGTGTGTGTGTGTGCATATAATCATTGCTTTTGAACCAAAACCTTGACATGGAGACATTTTTATATATATTGTTATACATTCTTTGATCTCACTAGCTGTCTTTTACATTGTATCAACATTTACTGAACTCATTAAGTTCAGAATGTTTTTTTTTCTATTTTGGAGATGCAAGGTTTTGTTCTGATACTATATGTGTATATATATATATGTGTGTGTGTGTGTTAATATATATACAACCCCAATTTCCAAAAATTTGGGACGTTTTGTAAAATGGAAATAAATGTGAATAAAAACTGATTGCAATGATTTGCAAATCTCACAGACCCAAATTTTCTTCACAATAGAACATAGAACACATATCAGATGTTGAAAGTGAGACATTTTACCATCTCATGAAAAACATTAACTCATTTAGAACTTGATGGCAGCAACGCATCTCAAACAAGTTGGGACAGGGCCGTGGCCGTGCGTAGCATCCCCACTTCTTTTAACAACAGTCTGTAAACATCTGGAAGTAAACAGACCAATTCCTGGAGTTTTGGGAGAGGAATGTTGTCCCATTTTTGTCTGATGTAGGATTCTAGCTGCTCAACACTCCTGGGTCTTCTTTGGGTCTTCTTTAGCACCTTCACTCTTCTTATGCAAAGCCATGCTGTTGTGATGATGCAGTATGTGGTTTAGCATTGTCCTGCTGAAACATGCAAGGCCTTTCCTGAAAGAGACGCTCTCTAGATGGAAGCATATGTTGTTCTAAAACCCCTACATACTGTTCAGCATTGATAGAGCCTTTCCAGATGTGTAAGCTGCCCACACCATAGGCACTAATGCAACCCAAGACCATCAGAGATGCAGGCTTTTGAACTGAGTGCTGATAACAAGCTGGACGGTCCCTCTCCTCTTGAGTCCTCAGGACATGCCGTCCGTGGTTTCCAAAAAGAATTTCAAATTTTGATTCACCACAGAACAGTTTTCCATTTTGCCTCAGTCCATTTTAAGTGAGCTTTGGCCCAGAGAAGACGGTGGCGTTTCTGAATTGTGTTGACATATGGCTTCTTCTTTGCATGATACAGGTTTAACTTGCGTTTGGATTGTACAGCGAACTGTGTTCACAGACAGTGATTTCTGGAAGTGTTTCTGAGCCCATGCAGTGATTTCCAGTACAGAATCATGCCTGTTTTTATGCCTGAGGGCCCAAAGATCACAGGCACCGAGTACTGACCATCGGCCTTGTCGCTTGTGTATTTGTTCCACAATTTTAGAACACAGTTTTTCACAGGTTGGTGAACCTTTGTCCATCTTTGCTTCTGAGAGACTCTGCCTCTCTAAAATGCTCTTTTAATACTCAGTCATGTGAGATAGTTGCAAATTCCTCCTCCAGCCGTTTTTTTTTATTAGTACCACTTACTTGTCCAGCTGTTTGTTGCCCCGTCCAACTTTTTTGAGATGTGTTGCTGCCATCAAGTTCTAAATGAGTTAATATAATTTGTGAAATGGTAAAATGTTTCACTTTCAACTTCTGATATGTGTTCTATGTTCTATTGTGCAAATAATTGCATTCTGTTTTTATTTACATTTATTTACGATTTACAGTGTCCCCTATATATATATATATATATATATATATATACACACACACACATAGATTTGTAATCTCTTTCTTGCTTCACTATTTTCTCCTGATTTATCTCAGCATGTTCTCATCACTGTAATCCTGCCTCTCTCAGCACCTTTCTTGCTTCATCTGCTAACTCTTTCAGGCCTTTTTGAAGCAGATCATGTGTCGTAGTGAAAGAGATGGCTGCTGCTGCGACGCTTCCTGCAACAGGAATCAAACTACACAGAAACTCTCCTATTGCAGACGTTCCCATTCTGAGTGCTGATGCTTCTGCAAGTTCCTTTAATAGTGGAGACTTTTCCAGGGTCTTCAAATGTGGCTTATTCACTCGTTCTGAGAGCTTTTCTAGTGATTTATCATCAAGCCCAAAGGCGTGGTAGCACGTGGTAAAGAAAGACCCCACGATAGCCATATCACATGCGAATGACAGACCCGGCACTGGGGCTGCTGCAATTCCAGCAGAGAGAACAGCTGCAGCCCAGATTGCTTTCTCAAATATTTTCACTTTTTTCTCCAGAATAGCCACAGAACTGACCGGCACTGACAGCAGCAGAGCGTCTTGCTTATGTTGTGGGAGCTCTGAATTTAGAGTTTTAACAAGCTCCTCAAAATCAAATGCATAAAGATCCCTGGAATTTATGAGGAAAACTTTGGGATTTCCAACATCCTTTAGGTTTTCCTCACAGTCTCTTCTGATTTTCAAGAGAGTTTCCTCTTCATTTATACTTTCGTCACTTGCAATATCAATATCTATCTTCGATCTAATGAAGTAAAACTGCTTTTTCCTTTTTTTGATCTTTTTGGCGAGCATGAGGTCATTCTCCTTGAATCTACTTGATGAGATGATAAGGAAGAAGTCATACTTGTCAAACTTCATTTCCTTGATGTACGTCTTTGCTTTGAAGTTTGGGCTTCCGATTCCTGGCAGGTCCCAAAATACCACATTAGGCATTGTGGGATGTGTGTAAGGGGTTGGTTCAGTGGTGGTCTCAGTAACTCCAGCTTTAGCTGCTCCTTCATCCTTAACATTCAGATTTCTAAATTCATTGATAAAGGTTGACTTTCCTGTCCCTGATTCTCCAGTTACGGCTACATTGAGTGAGATATTAAACAGACTGTCAATCTGCTTTTGTGCTTTTTTAGTTGCTCTTTGTAAAGTGGGCTCTTCTGATGCCTGTATGGCTGCACTTTCATCAGAACTTCGGCTGGTCATTGTCACGATGTGGACACGGCAGGATGTCTTTGATTTCAGAAAATATTTTAGTGCCACAGTCAGCGTAGAGGAGCTCCAAATGCTGCCAAAAAGGAAAATGAACATTAAGAATGTCAGTGGTGGTAGATGATTTTTTTTTTTTTTCTAAAGATGCCTCACGCATTGCAGTGCGGCTTACACAAGCATAACTATATCTGACCAACTGTGCTCATTAAAATTAAGAATTATTCATTGTTATTATTTATTACTTGTTGTTTAATACTGTATCCACACTGTAAAAAATACCATAAAATTTACAGTAATTTACTGGCAGCAGAGTTGATAGTAAAGTACTGTGTATTCACAGTAAATATTTCACAGTATTTTACTGTACATTTATAGTACTTTACTGGAAACTCTGCTGCCAGTAAATTGCATTTTCTGTTATATTCCTGTAAATCAATGCGCTGCTCTAAACGACCAAGCCTTTACAGTATTATCCTGTAAAATAACATAAGTATTTTACTGTACAATGAACACTGTAAATTTACATAAATTTCTTACAGTGCAGTGTTGTTATGTGGGAAATTATGGTCACATAGGGTTGGGTAGCATTACGTATTCAACATACAATACAAAAAAAACGTAACTTGATTCCATTACAGTAAAAATGATAAAAGGATACATTTTAATGATAAATGTTACACAAATCTTGGAGATCTGAAGAGGTTTTAGAGTTTTGGGAGGACTGGTTGATTACTTGAAGTAAATGACTTCAGCCAATCAACAAAACTTATAGTAAGAATTTTATTTTTATTGGCAAAACAAAAATCTGCAGCGTTCTTCTGAAGATATTTGAATCAGGTGTTTAACCTTGTTTTCAAAATCACCAGATTCTACAGCAGCAAACTGAGCCCCTTAAGTGCCGTTGCAAAGAGAAAAATTGCAACCACATTGCTTTATCTCGCAAAAGTTTTGCATTCCCTTGCAAAATCCACTGCATTTGCAAAGGAACTCTTTGAATTATTGCAAATGTGCGCAAAACTATTAGATTGCAAATTTTTTTTTATAGAATGCAAATTTTGATTTTGCGCGAGGAAATTGATTTTTTTAACATGGTTCTTTAGGGCCTTCGTAGCAAAGTGATCTGATTTGGAAGTGAACTCTTTAATTCTTGTTTGTTGCTCTATAAAAGTACAGTTTGGCTTGCTTTTTGTTACCTTGCCAGATTTTAATGCTGATATTTCTTCTACAAAGTTTCTGTGGGCTACTGTAACCACTGAGCTGATTTAGGGACCATCTACAAATTACAATCATCAAAGTGCAAGCAACTGAAATTTTGGGAATTAGTTCAGGCCTTCAAGCAGATGCTGCTCTGTTTAATGCTGCTCTGTTTATCAGTAAATGCTTCCTTGTCCGTGTACTTTATTTGTATACATCTTAGCTCTCCCCACACTCATCTCTAGATCATAGCCTTTTGTGGGAACGTAACACTTAGAACTTTTAGTTCCAGTGTACCAGCATTTTTTCATTTTCTAGTTAAAATTACTCAGATTTTCTCCTGGGGTGCTGAGCTGAGCTGAATATATATATATATATATATATATATATATATATATATATATATATGTATAAAATGGCATGCTGTTTAGGAAATTATTTATATATATAACGACTGAAATATATGGAATGAAACCTGAGAAAATGGAATGAAAGTCTGAATATATGGAATGAAACCTGACGTCATCAAGGCACTAGCGCCATCTTGTGTTTTGGAAGAGTGAGCAGTGCGACGCTATGACTAAGTCAGCATGAGATCTGTGGCAGTGATCCTGAATAGTGAAGAGATAATTGACACCCTGGTGAACGCATGTACAGGCCAAAATAATACAGGTAACCATATTTAATACTGTTTTACCAATGAACATCATCCACTGTTTCACTGTGGAAGAGTGCAGTGAACCTCACAGGCCAGGCAATTATCGTTAATTAGGCAAACGTTAATGCGGAAAAAGAAACCTACCTTCCACCTCACAGGAGCATCCGCAACAATCCCAACCCACAATCTTCGCCTGTTCACTTGAAAAGCCCCAAGGCTGTGCAGTGGGGTAGGGATAGCTAGCATATATATTACAACCGTAGATGGGTGCTATGTTAGGTACCCCCCACTGTCACCCCCGGAACACATCTAAAGTGGAACCCCAAAACTATACTCCATCCCTACAACCCCTCTTCCGACCCAGGAAGGTGACATTACAGCACTCTAGGCTGCTCGTGGGCTGCTCCTGTGAGGTGGAAGGGGTGTTTCTTTCTAGTATTATTTTGGCTCGTACATCCGTTCACCAGGGTGTTAATAACCTCCTCATCTGTACGGGATAATGTCACATATCGAAAAAACAAGATGGCGCAAGTGCCTTGATGACATCACATGATGTTCATTTCATATTCTCATTTTTTATTCCATATTTCGTTCCATATATTCAGATTTTTCAGTCATTATATATATAATTTATATTATGTATAATATATAATTTCTCTATATAGATATACACACAGTATGTGATAAAATATATATTCGATTCACATTTTTTTATGTATAAATATGTATATATATATACACAAATATGTGTGTGTGTGTGTGTGTGTGTGTGTGCAGTGCAGTTTGCCTGTCTTGTTGAAGGTATTGTTCCTGTTTTATTTTATGATATGACCCAAAAAGCAAAATCCAAAAGGAACAGAAAGTAATCAGATTACGTTACTTTAATATAGTAATCCTTTGGATTAGGTTACAGTTACTTTCTTAACAGGTAATCTGTACTGTAAAGTAACCCTCCCAACCCTGGTGTCAAAAAGCCTTCATCTTAAGGTTCTTTGCTTCAGACTTGCCTTCTCTCGCTCCTGCTCTGCCCTGCCTTATCTCTTTCATCATGTTTTGCACTGTGTTCACTGCATCGCTAGAACATTTTGTTTCATTAGGGCATTTGCGTGCGCTCACAGTTGTTAGCTATGACTCCACATCGCTCAATTTCAGGTATTTTCTTATTTTCTTTTTCTTTTGCCTTAACTTTCTGTTTCATGTTCTCTATCTACACGTTTAACCCCTTCTAGCTGTTATGAACGCAGTTCCTACAAAAAATGTAATGTACATACTCATGCACTTACGTCCAGCTGCCTCCAGGTCCTGTGTGTTCGTCAGTTCATAAAGACGTAACTGTTGTCCAGCGCTGTGAACATCAACAGCTCAATAAATGGGCTACAATAGAAAAGACAGTCAAACTGCAAAATCAGTCAAATTCACATAGAAATATCTACTCTTTTTAAGAGGTATATCAGACCAATATCTTCTGCTTTCACATCGAGTTCAGCATCATCAAGTAAATAATGATTAAAAATAAGAATTATTACTCACATAGAAATACAGCAGCCCATTACAGTCTCAGTAATGAGAATTCTTATTTTAATAAACGAGTTATTTTTATGTCGTTTTTCTGCAGTGTGACAAAAATCGTGATGTTGATTTACCGTCAAAACGAGATGCACACTCCTCAGCAGCCTGTAGGGTTTGAAACAGGAAACTGAAATGTGGGGGTAAAATATGGTGGTCAAACGGGTGTGGCTACAAAGTAGGTCTGGTCCTTTAACTGTTGATCAGAAACGGAAATGGCATAGAGTTAATTATATTAATGAATTATGAATTAAATATTGAATTATATTAATAGTATAAGTATTAGTAAAGAACTTTAGTTTAGTCTTGTTATTAGCTGCAAGCATTGCATTGTACAAAGTTAACCTACTAAAACCCTGACAGGTTCAACATTGTTTCAAATAATGAGCCTTTCAATACAGAAAAACCTTCAGTCTGAAAGACAGAACTGAAGCACTATACTGAGTGTTTATCGTATTTAAAAGAAAGAGGCAAAAGAATTTGAAATGGTTGGTTAGTCTGTAGTTTGTATAACAAGTATGCTAGCTAACGAGCTTAACTAAAATAGCTGAAAATATTAAAAATTAGATTTCAACTAGGACTTCTTATTGTTTTTGACTTAATCTCAAAAAGATTAGATTATACACTTTGGATGTGATTGGCACTTAATATTTCTACTTACTGTTTATTTTTTTTATAAAATAACTTTTTATCCTCATACATTACACATCAGTAATAACTGGGCAATGATATGGGCTATAAAATCACTTGCTAATTTTTTAGTTTTAATAAATAATAAGTAAGTGATTGTAGTTGTAACAAATCAGCACTGAAATGTTAAAATAATGTTAACAATTTGTACTGACCTAAAAATCACTGATAAATGAAATTAATTTTCCAGCCCTTTAGCCTGTTTTGGAGATCCCTGAGTTCAGCCTTAAATATTAAGATCTTTAAATAAACTAAACTATCTGACATTTATTAATTATATTATATATGTACAAACATACATGTTTAAGGAAGGAACAGAAATCTTCATTTTCATAATAATTGAAAATGGGGTTTAATCATGGGGTGTAGAAAGGGGTTTAATCAACTGTGTGTCTCACTAATAATTCATTGCTGATCAGAACAGGGGACAGAAAACAGAATAAAACCAGAACAAACTACATTGGAGTAAATTTCCTGATTGAATATACTGTGAATGTAATTAATGTAAATAGAAATAATTTCATTTTAATATATTCTAGAAACTTCTTTCAACCCCTATTCACACTCACTCTGTGCAGAATGAGGGTTTTGCTCGCTCTCACCACTCTTGTGGTCGTGGCTGGTGCAGCCAGTGTCTCTCTGGAGGATCTGGAGTTCCACGCCTGGAAACTGAAGTTTGGTGAGTATATACAAGTGTGTGTTGATCTCATTACACATATTTTTACTATAAGGTTTCTTAAAGAGGTGTTCTTTTCATTAAAATTCTCCAAACATACATTTGCTCATTGTGGCCAAAAAGTTTTGAGTATTTTAAGCCCGTAAAAGGTTTGAACAACTCAATTTAAATGATATATTGATGATTTTCTAAGTGAAAATAACACATCCTCTACAGAGAACACATTTTAATACACAATTACTGTTTACTTACTGTTGCTTCAATTAAAAAATTGGAGTAAGACTATCATATAATAACAATTAATAATATTTTTAGACTCTATATTTTATTTTATACTTTATAAAATATTTATATTATATACTTATAATATATATTTAATATGGTCTCTGTCTTGACTCAAATTTGACTACTATGAAGTCTCGAACTCTTGACTACAACACTAGTATTTTGTCTGCTAATTTGGTACTTATGATGCTCTTTCCTTACTAGCTAAATGAGCTGTGTCAAAATGTCAAAGCAAACATTTACTTCTATGATTAAAGTGATCAAAGGTAAGACGCTATCACATTGTGGAGAATAGCATGTTTGGAAATTGTAAATTCCTCTTTGGTCTACCCACTTTTTTTACAGGCTTACCCATTTTTTTCTGACTAAACTAAAACTATATATTTTAGCATGGATATCATTTTTTTAGAGTTCATAGTGGCAAAAGATGAAACATTCATTTGTGAAGTGGCCATAAAAATTTAATCGAAATGGTGACCATATGAATGCAAAGTTAGTTTATCTCAGTATATGTCATCCAACGTGATTGAGCTGAGACAAACATTTTATAATGTCATCAACTGAACAGAAACAGTAAGTTCCAGTGTGAGCTTAATGTGGTTTCAAAAAGTTGTTGAAATCTTCTGGCTTGAAGAATTTTAAGCACATATATACATTTTCTGTACTTATAATGGTGTTTTATTGCAGTTTTGTGGTAATAGCCATCAACCATTTCATAGCACTTTTCTGAAATAGCAGTGATAAACTATGTAAGTCAAGGTATACATCTTGGTTGTGAGGTGCAGATATAGCAATGCCCCCACTGAGCTGAAACAGTACACATAAACCCTGGGAGATTTAGGAATAATGCTTTGTATGTTGAGGAATAAATCAGTTCAATATCGCTAGAACCACGTGACTGCCTCACTGGTCCCATTTAATATATTTAAAGTTACTAAATTAGACTGGAATTTATTTTTTTATGTTCTGAAGTCTTAGAAGTATGTTTTTAAGTATATGTATCTGTTTCCTCACAGGTAAGAGTTATGGTTCAGTGGAAGAAGAGTCTCGGCGTAAGATGATCTGGCTGGACAATCACAAGCTTGTCCAGGAGCACAACATGCTGGCTGACCAGGGCATTAAAAGCTACAGACTCGGCCTAAACCACTTTGCAGACATGGTGAGAACTCCCATACACACAAGCCCACTCAAAATATTTGTATTTATTTATACAATTTAATAAACTGTAGCTATTTGTAACTGTTATGTATTATGCACGTTCAAGTAATTACTGTTGACATTTGCTAAGGTCATTAAATCTCCCACCGTCTCCCTCTCCAACAGGACGACAAGGAGTTCCAGGCCAGGTACAGCAGCTGCCTGAGATCCTTCAATATGACCAAGGCCCACAGTGCACCTGCACAAATCAGACCAGCAGGGGGTGCTGATCTACCAAATTATGTAGATTGGAGGAGTATGGGCTACGTGACTGAAGTTAAAAACCAACAACACCTTAACTCCTGCTGGGCCTTCAGCGCGGTGAGTTACAGAGGCACAGACACAGAAAAACAAATGGATGGAAAGATAACTTACGAAAAACCTGAAATAAGACTGCTGACCCTGGGCAGGGTTTTGTAAGCTTGTAATTACTGACATTTGCCCAGTTCATGTGTTAGTGATGCTATTGCAGTTTAAGAGTGATGCTAGTTCAAATCTGTGGTGAAATCATTGTAACGCATGGCTTTAAGTAGCTTATTGCTTTTTAAAAATGGCAACAAACAAAATAATATATACTATAATAAAATACAACATAATAAAATAAAAAAATCAATAATAAATAATTTAGATTAAAGGATTTTATGGACAGTGGTAACTATTTCATGTTTTTTAATAGCTTGGTTCTTTTGGAGCATTTTACCATGGCTTCAAATGTGGCTCAGCCAGTCACATCTATTGTACAACAAATATGCATCATTTAACAACACTACCCATAATTCAGTAGCCACGTTTACATGCAACCTAATAATCTGTTAATAATCGGACTAATAATCTGACTAATCTGACTAATAGCTCACAATAGTTCCAATTTATGTGTCTCAGAACACAAAATCTTTCTCTCTGCCTTCTTTAATAAGTACACGTGATGCACATTTTCCTGAGTCTGACATCGTTTTAAAGTAATTAAAAACACAAGCAAGTAAACGGAGATTTAGAGTAGAGTGAGTTAGAGTGAGCATATAAACACCTCAGTCTGAATGTATAATCAGAATGCATTTAATGAAACTGGCAAAAATTTTGCATCTAAACACAACCATTGTTATATTGGTGGAGTCTAAAGAAAACTAATCAGTGTGTCAAGAGTCGCCACTATCGGGGAAATGCATAGTACAACCCTGGGGACCATTCAGCTCTAGCTGTTCTAGAAAGGTCATATTAGGCCAAGAGTGGCTCTGTGGTCAGAAACCAACCACTGTTGAAGGGCTAGAAAGAGAAACACAAGATTTGGATCAAAAAATGGGCTACATTCTCTAGCAGTTACACACAATTTAGAAAGTTGTTTTGCCAGCTTTTAGTTATTTTTTTAATTATGTGTCTGCATGCATACCTCTCTCTCAGACAGGGGCGCTAGAGGGTCAGATGTTTCGGAAGAGGAGAAGGCTGGTACCCCTGAGCGAGCAACAGTTGGTCGACTGCTCTCAGGATTTTGGAAACAGTGGCTATAATGGTGGTTGGCCACACAAGGCCTTTGAGTATGTCATGTACAGAGGAGGCCTGCAGGCAGAGTACACCTATCCATACGAGGCCGAGGTGACACTAATGACAAGTGGAGCTTCTGAGATGGACAATTTTCCCCTGATCACAAATGTAGTTTTTTAGCCAACTGATTGGTGTCTGAAGTTTGGTTCTTTAATTTTGCTACTGTAGCTAACAGGAAATAATACTAATTGCATGCAAGTCATCACACACTAGCATCACAAATATTCAAAAGTACGTCAGCATAGCTAAAACAGTAGCAGCACCTTGAAGCAGCATTTGAAAGCATGAATTTTTGAATTATTCATCATTATTCATAATTATTCATTTTTCAGCATTAGGGAAAATAAACATTTATTTAACAAAAAATTAACACAGAAGCCACAACAAACTATTTAGTGTCTATTTCATGCTGTAAAATACTTATACTCACTGTCACTGTTTTTCCACACTACCAAAGTTGGTTGCACATTCTTCTTTTCATGGTCTAAGTAATCCCAGCCACATTCAGTGATAATAAGGTCTGGACTCTAGAGTGGTCAGTTCATTGTTGAGAACACCAGCAGCTTTTTTTGACTTGTCAAGAAACAACCACTGTAGCTTTGTAGCTCTGTAGCTCCAATGCAAAACTAAAGAAGCAAAGCATATCTTGGCTACATTTGGGTAGGGGGTGTTAACATTTTTTTACTAAACGTTCACTTTCAACTTTGAACCTGGAAGATAGTCATCCATCAACTCATCCTGATTGTTTTCATCTCACTTCAGGTTGGGTGGTGCCGGTTTAATCCGCAATATGTTATGGCTACCTGCAGAAGCTACATATTATTGCCCAAAGGAGATGAGAAGAGTCTGCAGTACGCCGTAGCCACAATCGGACCTATTTCTGTAGGCATAGGCACTTGCAGACCCTCCTTCAGGTTCTATGAGTCAGGTAACCCTCAGAAACAAACCTTCACTCATCATCAGGGGGTAAACTGGGATTATGGAGGACCTGTTTTTTCCACAGGTGTCAACAATATAGGAACAATTTTGTTCAGTGCATGTGGTATTACATGAAGTTCTCAGTGTGATTTCATGAAAATGTGATCAATAGCCAAAAATGAATAACCAATCTTTTTCTGCTTTCATGACTTAATTAATTTTTGTCTTTTCTGTTTTAATTAATTTGCCTGCGGTTTTAATATTTATTGCTCGTTAATTTCGAAATCAAAATTTTATCAAAATATCTTCTCATTATTTTCTGACGAAGCTGAAAGTCACATTGTCTTTAAATTAGGAAAATGAGCTGTTCTGAACAATGATGCACCCCATCAAGAACCCTTCCTGTTTTTTTATCTTTCTCCCTCTCCCTGTTTTGCATATCTTCATAATAAAATATTGCAGATCCACAAAATGTAATATAAGATAAGGAGAACATTAGGAAACACATGAAGCAAAAACGTTTTGTAACACCCATGTGAAAAATGCAATTGTTCCCTAAATTTAATAACTGCTTCTGCCTCCTTTAGCAGCCAAACTGGTATTTTGCTGGAGTCCCAGAGCTTCAGAAATATCTTTCTTTACAAACCTTTCCAGACTGATATATTTCACTAAGTTTCTTTCTCATCTCCTCTGGAATTTGAGATCTTTTAGCCTAATTCACATTGCTGGAGATGTTCTACTTTAAGTGGTGTGTAGATTCTGCAGGGCTGGCAGTAATCAAGCCTGGATGTGTCGAATGAACTTCATCCCAGTCATCAACTAAATTTGATTGGTAGATTGTGTGTGTTAGACTTATAATAAGATTCAATAAAGAACTGTACTTAGTGCTGGTCAGAAGTGGAAGTGTACGCATCAAATTAAGTAAAACTGCAGTGTTCACTTCTCTGACCCTTAGCACCTTGTCAAAAGCTGCCCAGAAAAACAGTCCTACTTTAACCATCACCATGAGCTGTCTTTACTGAGGCACACGTCTGGATGCCGGGATACAGGAGCGAATTTGACACTGTTGCTGGGAGTTGAGTCTGAGACTCTATGTGTTATCCCAGTGACTCGGTTTACTCTTGTTCACTGTCTTAGCTTTACTGATTAATTGATTAACAGAGTAATTTAATGATGGGTTAATGGTTGAATGTTTTAATTGCAGGTGTGTATGATGAGCCTAACTGCAGCAGCACTGAGCTGAATCATGCTGTCCTTGTTGTTGGTTACGGCACTGACAGTTCCAAACAGGACTACTGGCTGGTCAAGAACAGGTAGACGAACAAGACATTGAAACAACAGAACATCAAACAGACAATTGCTGATAACAGTTAACATAGAAAGAGTGAATACAAGCCCAGTGCTGTCAGGGACTCAGAAGCAGTGTTCATATCATCAACAACAGTACACGTTAGTGCTTAATTCACTAGGTTAACTAACCTGGGAGCTCCGGTCAGGACCAAGAGCTATCCCATACAGCCCAAGGCCTCGGACATATATACTGACTGAACACTAACACTAATAACTACTTTAATTCTAAGTTCTCAAAAAGTATTAAAAAGGAAAAAAAGGACCTCAGATGACGAGTTCTTGTGGAAAGAGGAAAAAGGTTCTCCGGAGACTCCAAATGCAAAAGTGTTCAGTGTTTCTGAACAATGCTATTTATATCCTTTAGCTGGGGTCATATGATGTCACCCCACCTTTTTTTTTATCAGTTTTGGTGTTCCATTAGTCTCCATTAGATTTAAAACCTCTACATTACTCAGCTTTAGCTTACTTTAGCCTCTCCACCCTAACGTCCCACCTGCCAGCGCCTAACCCTCTATCTATCTTCCATTCCTCTCTGGCCTGCAATTGCAGAACATGTACTTCTCTCTCCTTTTGCTCAGCCCCTGGCTGCTTAAATCTCTGCCCGATTTGCGCCATTACTCCTCCTCTTGGAATTCAACCTACGAAGGCCTGATAACACACATCTCCTCTACATATGCTGCCATCCGGACAATGTCTTTTTCAGGGAAGGCCTTGATTATTTCAGCAAGACAATGTCAAACCACACTCTGCACGTATTACAGCAGCATGGCTCTGTATCAAAAGAGTCCAGGTGCTAACATGACCTGCCTGCAGTCCAGACCTGTCGCCTACTGACAACATTTGGCACATTAAGAAATGAAAAATATGACAAAGGAGACCCCAAAATGCTGAGCAGCCGAAATCCTATATCAAACAAGAATGAGAAAACATTTCACTTTCAAAACTACAGCAATTGGTCTTCTCAGTTCCCAAACACTTACAGAGTGTTGTTAAAAGAAGAGGTGATGAAACACAGTGGTAAACATGTCCCCGTCCCAACTTTTGTGGAATGTATTGTTGGCATCAAATTCAAAATGGGCATATATTTTTCAAAAAACAATTTAATTTCTGACTTTCAACATTTGATATGTTGTCTTTTCTTAAAAATATGGTTTACATGATTTGCATATCACTGCATTCTATTTTTATTTACATTCCGCACAGTGTCTCAACTTTTTTGGAAATGGGGTTGTAAATAAAGAGCTCGGTTCATTTTTTTTTTTGTTGTTAGGTTACAGTTTTCATTGACTAAAATCCTATCGTCATTGACTGAAACTACTAACAGTTAGACTATAAATTATAAATCTATTTAATTATTACCGTAAAAGTAAAAATGTTATAATTCAAAATAGGCAAACATATAAAACAGATTAAAACAAGACAAAAACAGACAAAAATGAACACTGCTCAGGAGGGTGAAGTGCTTTTATCACAAAACCAAAATGAGACTTCAACTCAGACAATTGCTCTGAATATCCAACACTGACAGTAATTTATTTTGCAGCTATGGTGTTGAGTGGGGTCAAGGAGGCTACTTCAAAATAGCCAGGAACAAGAATAACCAGTGTGGTATTGGCTTATATGCTGTCTACCCTGAGGTTTAAAGGTATAACTTCATTACATTGGTTCCAGTACCCATCCACAGAGATCTACACTGCGGAGTTCAGTTCCAGCTGCACTTTTCAGACGGTCATTTAAACTGAGCGCATAGAAGTTGCTCCTGGAGTTTTTCAGGTTACTGTACAAGGTTTTGTCACATGAAATGTCTGAACTACAATTAATTTTTATAAATTTTTAACAATTTGACTTATAGACATCTGCAAAACCACATCATTGTTTAAGGGTTTGCTATTAAATATCACTATTTGTGGAACTGCATGTTCCTAATGACCTACAACAACCAAAAATCTGAGAACCTCTCCATTAGAAAGTTCACTTCATTTGTAATCAGTCTAAGACTGGTTGTGTGTGATTCCAGTTGAAACTGAACTCTACAGGTCTCTAGAATTAATACTGAACTACATCAATGAATATAATGTATCTCTATTTATAAAACAATATTAAGGATGCAGCAGTTCATGTGAGTCAATCATCAATCCTGTTAAACTTTGTTTTTCTACAGATGGGAGAGAGACAGAACCTGAAAACCCTGCGGGGGAGGTTACAGACTGATCAGATCATCATTTACTTAGCGATGCAGCAAAATTCCTGTGGTTTTAGCTTTAGTTAAACCACTACAGTGCTTCAGTCCTTTCTATAAAATAAGCATTGTCTGTGTGTGAAATATTACTGTTTCTTACTGCTAAAAATATCTAATAAACTCTCAGCATTCACAAAATTTACATCAAGTGTAATGACTTTGATTATTGCTATGATTACAGTGACTAAAACATTTTTAGTTTATGAGCAGTGAAGTCCTGATTGATCAGACTTTTATCCCTACATTACATTATTAGAACATTTATGTCCAGCTGTCATAATCTGGGTGATAATAATAGAATTGATAGATAAACATTCAACTTCAGTACAACCAGATACAGTTTGAGGGGAGCCCGCCACTTCCTATTTCTCCCATTACACCAAAAAATTACTGATAAAAGCTAGCGGGCACCTCAGTGAATGAGGGTGAATAGAGCTAAAGAGCTAAAACTGACGTATTAAACATCTTTGTAACCATTTATGAAACACCAATGATGGTAAAAAGCCCTGAAAGGGGAAAGCTGAACGTAAGTGGAGAAAAATGAAACTTCAAATCCACCTCTGTAAACAAAGCCTTAGTACTTTTAACTTTTTTAAAAAAAAACTTTTACAATGGCATTAACACCACACAGTCAAATAATGATACCATGCCATCTCTATGTCCTGCAAGAAATACATTCACTGAGCACTTAAATACGAGCACCTTGTATCTACACTCACTGTCCATTTTATCAGCTCCACTGACCATACATGAGCACTTTGTAGTTCTACAGTTAGAGACACAGCAGTGCTGCTGGAGTTTTTCAACACTGTGTTCACTCACTGTCCACTCTAGACACTGGACCACTTTGTCGGTCTACCTTGTAGATGTAAAGTCAGAGACGATAGCTCATCTGCTACTGCACAGTTTATGTTGCTCATCATCTAGTCCTTCATCAGTGGTCACAGGATGCTGCCCACAGGATGCTGTCGGCTGGAGGTTTTTGGTTCTCAGTCCAGCAGTGACACTGAGGTGTTTAAAAACTCCAGCAGCACTGCTGTTTCTGATCCGCTCACACCAGCGCAACACACAATAACACACCACTGCTGAGAATGACCCACCACCCAAACAATATCTGCTAATGTGGGGGTCATGTGGGGGTCCTGACAATTGAAGAACAGGGTAAGAGTGTGCAGAGAAACAGATGGACTATAGTCTGTAACTGTAGAACTGCAAAGTGCTCCTAAATCTCCAAAAATCTCAAGGCCACTAAAGAACTCCAAAAATCCCAAGGCCACTTTTCAACTATCAACCAAATGGTTCTCAGGGCCGTACTGGGCCATTCAGCGCTGGTCCGGAATTGTGAGACCGGTTACGGTTTCTGTTTCCATCTGCTGTACTGCTAAATCAGAACCAGGAAATACTGAAGAAAAATACACAAATGAGTGGCTAACTGCTAACAGGCTAATAGTCATGCACACACCACCCACCACAAAACGTTTGATTCCGTCTGTCATTCCAACTCCAGTTTCTTGGCTGTTCTCATCTTCTTTATCCTCAAAACAGGCGTTATTTGAGCATCTGTTACTAAAACAGCCTGTACTGCAATGGGTTTCACCTGTAGCCGGATAGCTAACCAGCTACATTAACATTAGGGTCACCCAGAAAAGTACAGCTTAAAGCACCACAGAACAATTCTATTTTTTATCTTTCTGTCACTTTTGATTCTAAAATTGTATTTTCCCTGTTTACTGGCAGAGCTCTCACTTGGACCACAGCAATGTGGACTGCACAAAACCCAATCTCACAAACATACGCCAAATTTGATGCTGCTTTTTGGGAAGCGTTTGATAACCCATTGTCTGGAAAAGATTCAGGGGAGCAGTTGTTGCAGCTGAGACAAAAAGTCCATGTGGAGTGGACTGCGCACTATCACTGACTACAAAGAAGGTGTGATCTGTGATAGGGGCTCTTCCTCCTCACTTGCAGATGAGCTTGATGCTCATTATGCTCGTTTTGAAGCAACTAACACCTCACCTGCTGAGAAACTCCCAGTAGATAAGGAGAGCTGCGCTCCAGCCATTCTCCTATCTGAGGTGGTGAGATCCTTCAGGGCAGTTAACCCACACAAGGCACCCGGTCCCCATGGCGTCCACAGTCGCATACATAAAGCATGTGCCAACCAGCTGGCTGAGGTTTTCACTGACGTCTTTAACCTCTCCTTAAGACTGTCAGAGATTCCTACATACTTTAAGGAACCACAAAAACCACAATTGTTCCAGTCTCCGAGAAATCGGCTATCACCTGTCTGAATGACTGGTCAAAGCTCACATCTGCTCAACACTTCCAGCCACCATGGACCCTCACCAATTTGCATATCGCTCCAACAGATCCACAGACGAGGCCATTGCACTAACAATATACACACTGCTCTCACACACCTGGACAGAAAGAACACATATATAAGAATGCTGTTCATAGATTACAGCTCAGCATTCAACACAATCATCCCTGCCAGACTCATTCCTAAGCTCACAGACTTGGGTTTGAACTCTCATCTCTGCAACTGGATACTGGACTTCCTGACGAGCAGACCCCAGGTGGTGAAAGTTGGGGACAGCTTTTCTTCCACACTGACTCTGAGCACAGGGGCTCCCCAGGGATGTGTACTCAGCCCCCTCCTGTACTCCCTGTATACACATGACTGTGTGGCCAAACACACATCTAACTTCATCTTCAGGTTTGCTGATGACACTACCATCGTAAGTCTCATCACTGATGGAGATGAAATAGCCTACAGAGACAAGGTCAGCACTCTGTCAGAGTGGTGCCATGACAGCAATCTCTGTCTCAACATCAGCAAAACAAAGTAGATGATTGTGGACTACAGGAAGCTGCAGAGGGATGGTCATTATCCCCTATTCATCAACAGAGCCGAAGTGGAGAGAGTCAGCGGTGTGAAGTTTCTCGGTGTACACCTCGCTGATGACCTCACCTGGTCCCTCCACACCAACGTTATTGTGAGATCCGCCCATCAGCGTCTCTTCTTCCTGCATAGGCTCAGTTTGGTCTGCCTCCTCAGATCCTCACAAACTGCTACGGATGCACCATAGAGAGCATCCTCATAGTCAGCAACACTGTCTGGTACAGAAGCTGCACCGCCTGTGACCGTAAGGCTCTTAAAGGAGTGGTGAGGATGGAAGAAGCCATCATAGGCAAACTACCACCTTACAGGGCATATATCAGTCCTGCTGCCTCAGGAAAATCAAAAAGATCCAGTCAGATAGCGTCACCCAGCACCCAGCCAGTTCACCATTCTGCCATCAGGCAGGAGATTTTGCAGCGTACAGGCTAGAACAACCCGGTTAATGAACAGTTTCTACCCACAGGCTGCCAGGCTTCTGAACAAGCTGTGAAGCTGTGGGTCCTTCCCCAAATACCATTTCACTCAGTCACTTTGTCAGTATTATTATTGTATCATATTACTGCTATGGACAATAACACTTTAACACTAAGTCACTTTAAATAACAATACACTGAGTCACTTAAGTCACTTTAAAATGTATATATTCTTCACAGATTATCCCTTGTTTAATATAAATATATTTGTACATAGCAGAGATTTTTTTTTCTTACATAGGTCTGTCCTATCTTTATATTTTGTGTATATTTAATATATTTGAGTTTCAGTATTTTCTTGTATTTTTATTTTTACTTTACTATGTTTACATTCTGTAGAGTGATTAGCAGTGCCTCACCACAAGCATTTCAATGTATGAATATTCTGTGTTGTTCAAATGACAAATAAACTTGAAATTTGAAACAAAAAAGGAAATTGGCTGCTTTTCATTAGCTTTTCATACCTTAGCAGCCAAATGTAGCGGGAATGATGAAGCTCTACAAATAATTTTTCATCATGCACTTAACGACACTTTGAGATCTGAACTAACTTGTGAGGATAATCATCTCAGCATTTCCCAACTCTGCTGTCATTAAAGCTAGACAATCTAATTTCAGGCCAATGGGAAAATGCACTGCTCTCCTACCCCCTAGCCACACCTTCTCCTTGTAAGACACAGAGCCTATGGAGATTCTTCTGAAGGGAATCAAAAAAGAATGAGGGAAGGACTGTGTCTGTATTGTGGACCGCTCCCAGTTGCTAGGTGTGTGCCACGGACATACCGGATTAGTGAGCCAAAAGTGAAGCACGCAACTGGGCCCAATCTGGGCCAGAAGCTGACCAAAATATGTAGGATGTATCTGGAACAGAGGCGCACCAAATGTTTCAGCTTTAGATTTGGTCTTGCCTTTCACAATACACATTTCATTTTTTAGTGAGAGACAGGCAGGTCAGTCTAACACCTGCACACTTTGATTAGACAGCATCTAAAAGGCAGCATATGTTGCTCAATATTTTGTCTGGCG